CCCTCTCCCTCTTTTCCTTCCTTTATTTTTTCCTCCCTCTCTCCCCCTCTATTTTCCTTCCTTCCTTTCTTCCTCCCTCCATCCCCCTCCCTATTTTCCTTTTCTTCCTCCCTCCCTCCCTATTTTCCTTCCTTTCTTCCTCCTGCCTCCCTCTCCCTCTTTTCCTTCCTTTCTTTCTCCCTCTTTTCCTTCCTCTCTTTCCTCCCTTCCTCCCTCCATCCCTCTTTTCCTTCCTCTCTTTCCTCCCTTCTTCCCCCTCTATTTTCCTCCCTTCCTCCCTCCCTCCCCATTTTCCTCCCTTCCTTCCTCCTCCCTCCCTCCCTTTTTTCCTTCCTTTATCTTTTCCTCCTTCCCTCTTTTCCTTCCTCCCCCTCCCTCTTTTCCTTCTTTCTTCCTTCCCTCTTTTCCTTCATCTATCTTTTCCTCTCTCCCTCCCTCTTTTCCTTCCTTCCTTCCTTCCTCCCACCCTCCCTCTTTTCCTCCCTCCCTTCTTTCCTCCTTCCCTCTTTTCCTTCCTCTATCTTTTCCTCCCTCCCTCCCTCCCTCTTTTCCTCCCTCCCTTCCTCCCTATTTTCCTTCCTTCTTTCTTCCTTCCCTCTTTTCCTTCCTCTATCTTTTCCTCCCTCCCTCCCTCTTTTCCTCCTTCCCTTCCTCCCTCCCTATTTTCCTTCCTTCTTTCCTCCTTCTCCCTCCTTCCCTCCCTTTTTCCTTTTTGGTCCTAGGTAGAAAGAGGCAGCCCCAAGAGTTGTTTCCTCTTCCTGGGCTCGGTGCTGTGTGAGGTGAATTGGGTCAGTGTCCTCGCTGACGCCTGGGATCCCAGTCCGCCCCCGGACACCCACAGCCTGATCGTGTGCCTGCTTTATATGGTGATCCTGCTGGCCAAAGAGGAAGAGCTGATCACCAAAGAGGTAAGAGTACAGACCCCCCACCCCTACTGTGTGTGTGCTCGACTCCTGGTGGCTTCCAGGACACAACCGTCAAATCTTCTTGGTGGCAGAGATGTTTTCCTCGAACGAAGCAAAATATATGTCTCAGGGACAGTGTTGAGGATCTGATCTGAGTCGATTGCCAGGATCAAAAGTTTATTCTACCAAGCTTTTGGGGCTCATGTGGGTCTCCTGCCTTGGGCAGAGGTGTTGTGGCCTGTTGGCTGCCGACCCCTACAGCAGCCGAATCAGGAAGAGGTAGAAGAGGCGTGGGAGTCAGGTCAGCATCAGGGCAACCTGAGGGCTCCGAGGGGGAAGAGGGAACGGAGCTGTCAGAGAGAGAAAGAGAGAGAGGGGCAGAGCCAGGGTCATCCATCAGCCCTCAGATGGAGAGTCAACAGTCCCCAGGTCTGGAGGTGGCTGATGAGGAAGAGGAAGAACAGCTGGGTCCAGTGCCTGACGTACGGATGCACAGAAGGCAGAGGAAAGGAGAGCAGTGGAAATCTATGAGCCGGTCCTTGGGATGGAAGAGCCACTGCTGCTAGCGAAGCCTCACTCTAGCTCTGGGGATAAAAGGCAGGGGGAAGAGATGAATAGATGTGACAGACAACTCTTCACCTCCCCTGCTGGACAGACTACTTAGCCTGCGGCGAGAGAGAAACTTCTTGCTGGGGCTGCCAGATTTCCTAATAAAGGAATCATTGCTTCAACCACAGAGGGTTTGTCGTGTTTGGGGAGCTGGGTCACAACAAGGGGTTGGACTAGAAGACCTCCAAGGTCCTTCTAGCCCTGTTATTCTATGTTCTAATTTTTCTGGTAGGGAGCAGATTAAATAATGGAGAGGACGATCTTGATCGTGGTGCTTAATTAAACATTAAATTCAATTATATTTAGAATCTGTTCTGGACATATTTCCCCCCCCCTTGGGTTTATCTACTTTGGATTGAAGGTCCTATTCAACGCAGGACCAAGAATAGCCCTTGTCTTGAAACCTCTTGTTGAGGTAATTCCCCGTTAGGAGAATGAGTGCAACACAGGGAGACGTATAGAGAGTAGTGTTGGAATAATACAGAGCACACAGATACACTGTACAGTAAATGTAGGTTTTTACTTCCAGAAAGGTTTAAGCAAAGTCCAAAATAAGCAATCCAAAGTCATTCACAGGTAAATCAGTCAGTTTTCAATCCAGGGATAATCCAAATATCAAATTCCAGTGTCAAAAACAGTTCAGTATCAGACTTACATCAAATCCAGAAATAGCAGTCAATTAGAAGAAATGGAGCAACGGCAATACTTTCCAACAGAAGGAAACAGAGATACTCACTCAGACACACTCTCTTCTGAGACTAAGACTAAGACAATCCAAGTTTCTGGCTCCATCTTATGGCCGTTTGAAAAACCACACCCAACTACAGTTTTGCATTTTCTTAAAGATATAGTACTAAAATGTCTATCCTGGTTTATATATTTCTAACCCAAATACCTGTTAGGTGACTTATATTCCTAACAACCTCCCCATTCACCTATCCAAATGGGAAGCTCACCATATCTTCTCTTTACGCCCAAAACCACTCAGATAAACTGGGTTTGAGTCTTAACTCTTGGGGCTTCCTGGTTTAAGCAGATGTTTGGGGGGGGGGGGGTACAGAACCTTCTTTTCGGGTTTTCTTCCAGTTTGAAAAAAAAGTCATGGGACAAGTGACGGGGAAGCCCTTAAGATCGCCGCGAGACTCCCCAAACCCCGGTTAAACTATCAATTTGCATTGATCTTCTTGGATTTGGGAGGACTGGGGCTAATTCTGCGTCAAGCTGGGCTTTGAAGAACCCACAAAGTTTGAATAGAGTAGGAATGGAATAGGAATAGGAATAGAAATAGAAATAATAGAAATAATAGAAATAGAAATAGAAATAATAGAAATAGAAATAATAGAAATAGAAATAATAGAAATAGAAATAGAAATAAAATAGTGCCAATAGTGCCAACTATTTGGCACAATAGTTTTTTCCAATAGAATAGAATAGAATAGAATAGAATAGAATTAGAATAGAATTAGAATAGAATAGAATTAGAATAGAATAAGAATTAGAATAGAATAGAATAAGAATTAGAATAGAATAGAATAGAAAATATGGAATGGAATAGAATAGAAAATATGGAATGGAATGGAATAGAAAAGAAAAGAAAAT